TCTGGCTGCTGCATGCTCTCTGAATACCAGTAGAATTCCTCATATTTATACCCAAGTGTCTGACCCTTTCCATGTATCTCACCCACTCTCCACCCCAGCTTTCCCCTACTCACTCACCTGGCCTCTCCTTTCAGTTCCTGTCCGGAGTAGATGCCTGGTGCAAGATGTGCAGCGAAGGTGGCCTGCCATCTGAGATGCAGGACTTGGAACTGGCGATCCACCACCACCAGACCTTGTATGAGCAGGTGACCCAGGCCTACACAGAGGTGAGAACTTAGAGGCAGTTGGGTCCTGGGGATGTGGGTGCATGTTGGGTGGTAGAAAGCACCCCCTGAGCACTGTGGAAGAGGCCTCATTTAACTGAGAATAGAGGCAGTTTTTCTTCTGCCTCTGTATGAACATCTTTAGGAACTGTAAGTCTATAAACTGTGGCTCTCTGGCTAGGAACAGATACAGTTAGAACCATTCATAGGCACAGAATGGTCTACACATTCATTGTCTTTTTCTGTCTGAAACTTTTCTCTCTCTGTCTTTCTGTCTCTGTCTCTGTCTCTGTCTCTTTCTCTCTGTCTGTCTGTCTCTGTCTCTGTCTCTGTCTCTGTCTCTCTCTCTCTCTCTCTCTCTCTCTCTCTCTCTCTCTCTCTCGGCAAGAAACAAGGCTGGGTCCTCCATGTTAGCTCTCAGATTCAGGAAGAATGTGTGCACACCAGCTCTGTTGGCCTCTCTGAAGCAGCACATCAACCCACTAACTTTCTCATTAGAAGATGCACAGGGAGACATGGGAGGAGACAGGTGCAGGAGAGAGAGTCAGCTTTGACTGTGAAGAAAAAGCAGAAAGGCCATACCCCTGAGACATCCAAGGCACAGGGGAGCACTTTGGAGTTAAGGAGAAATTTCTTGCCCTTCCTTTTACATGGAAAGGAAAGGGCTGTGTGAGTGCCTCTGTGTGGAGGTACACAAGTGATAGGCTCACTGACTGGCATGGATTTCAAGATGGGGTGAAGAACAGAATGAGACGTGTGGCTCAGGAAGCTGGTGAGGAGGGAAAAGGAATGCACAGCCAGCCCTTCTATCTGCACGAGGTGGATCTGAGGTGTTGGCCAAAGATGCACATTTCAGGATTCCATTCCATTCTGAATGAGAATAGCAAGGAGGCCTGGAGCCTCTGTTGTAATGACTGTTATCCCAGGTAGCTTTACTGCATGTGGAAGTATAAAGTGAAGGCTTCTGGGTAAGAGTAAGAGCTTGTTCCACTGTCAGAACTGAGTTTCAATCATGGCTGCCCTGATTCTTAGCTGTGTCACCTCAGGCAGGTTACTTTACCAGTCTGAGCCTCAGTTTCTGTGAAAAGGAGGCTCGAATGTGTCTGTCTTATGGTGGTTTCCGTGGTTATCAGTGCAATGTAAGTACTGTGCTTTCTCAGGCTGACAGTAATATTTCTGGGGGCCCTGTGCTACTCTGCTTGTGCTACACAGGTGCTGTTCAGGAGAGATAGGTGGGTTGTACAGGGGGGTGAAGGTTAAAAAATAAAGAAAAGGTGATAAAGAAATAAAGAAGCCAGGAAATGGGAAAGACACGGAAATGACAAAGATACTAGGTACTGTGTGCTGGGCCCTATTTTGTACCCTGCACATGCTGACTCACTTAACATTCTCCACAACTCTGTGAGGAATGTTCCATTGTCATTCCTCTTCTCCAGAGAAGACAGCTGAGGCCCAGAGCCTTGATTACACATCTAGAAGTTTGGGGCCTCCCAGAGGAAACTGAGGAGGAAAGAGCAGGAGAGGTTTATCGTAGTAACTTCTACGTGGCTCCATTTCTGAAGTGAAGTTCTGCTGCCCAATGTGATCAACAAGCTAGTCAAATGCCCACCAAATCCTATGTGGGAGGCACTGCTGTAGCTTTGGGAGAGGGCATGGCACAGGCATGGCACAGCCCCACCCTCATGCAGGTGAAGTTTAAGAGGGAAAGAAGAATACTGTGCACAACTGGCCGGCCCTCTGCCAGCTCCTCTTTCCCCAGGGCTGCAGATGCTCTGCCCTTCCTTGGGCCATAGGCTGGCACCACGGCAGCTGTGGCTGGCTAGCATGCTGCTTGGTTGAGATGAGCCTGGAGGACTGAGATCTTCAGGCCTAATCCGGAACCCTGTGGAAGGCTCTTTCTCTCTCCATGCTTCCTGACTCCTCTGAATTTCTTTCCTTCCTGCAGGTCAGCCAAGATGGCAAAGCACTGCTAGATGTGTTACAACGTCCCCTGAGTCCTGGGAACTCTGAGTCCCTCACAGCCACTGCCAACTACTCCACGGCAGTGCACCAGGTGCTGGATGTGGTCCACGAGGTGCTGCATCACCAGAGGCGGCTTGAGAGCATCTGGCAGCACCGCAAGGTGCGGCTCCACCAGCGGCTTCAGCTCTGCGTCTTCCAGCAGGATGTGCAGCAGGTAACATGCTCTGCTCCCCTGTGCCCATCATCTGTCCTGGGAGACAGATGACATGGGCAGCCTGACCCATAATCAGGCATGGCTAGACCTAGATCCATAGGGATGGTGACAATTCAGCCCCCAGCTTCTCCCTAGCACCTTGCCAAGACAAAGCCGGATACATTAAAATTGTTGATTGCATGCTTCTTGTGCAAGCAGCTTTCTAAAGCTGGGCCTTCTCACCCTGTGGTATTGGGAAGAGAGGCTCAGTCCCAACAATTCTTTGCAAACACAAATGCTTTTCATAAGTTTAATCCTCATGCAGACAGTGAGATTGTGGAGGGCTATCTGAGCACTGCCAGAGTTGGACTCCACATACAGAGCTTATGTTTTGATTAGCAGTGGTTGGCTAAGGGGGTGGGGGACATTAGGAAATTTTAGAAGATTTATTAGCAAAATTAACATGTGAAACTAAATTTAAATCATTCACTATACTTTTCCATGATTAGGGGTTACTTGTAGCTTCATCCGTCTTTTTGCCTGATTATTCCACTTGTGGCTTTTCCTTTACTGCATATAGTAAAGAGAATATGTTTCTAACCATAAAAGGACAGTGTTGCCATGGAACTCCTTTCAGAGGAAAGGCCTTTTCTCTTCCGCTTGCACTTTGTTTCTCTGCTCTGGAGCCTTGGAAACTTCGTCTAGGGCTGAGAGAGGAGCTTGATAGGAGCCGGCCTGGGATGAGGTGGGGTCAGAGTCATCTCTCTGTGGGCTCTGTGGGAGGCCAACTGGAGCTCACACACCTGCTTTTAGACTATTTCTGCAGCTACTCTGTAATTACAGGGTTACACACATGAAATAATGCTTAACACTCCTTCGTTCCTTCCTTCTGTGCTATGGACCAGGAATATATAATCCAGAAGTACAGCAAAATGGACACAGGATTGAGAGCCTGTGGCGCATAGCTTCACAGCTTCCAGGGTCAGGGACTAGTGCTGTTTGAGGTAGACAGGTAGGCTGGGGCAATTCATACCTCTGTGACATCTCATAGGGTGTGGAGGGGTCGCCCTAGTACCCCAGGAATAGAAGGGCCTCAGGCATGGACCTCTCCTAGGGCTTCCCCGACTCCCTCGCAGTGCCCTTCCCCTGATGGGCTGCAGGTTGTGGTGGAGGAATCAGAGGGATACCTTAGCCCAGAGGGCCTTGAGAATGGAGAAGCCAATGAGTCAGTGCCTGCTCCTACCCTCTGAAGCCGCCAAGATCAATAGAGCATCCCTGAGCCCAGAGCAGCAAGGCTGTCTGTGACCGAGAAGGGAGGTACCAGGCTTGAGGGCACAAAGGAGGGTGTGTGGCTTTTCCTGTGATCTCTCTCTGACTTCTGAAGTTGGCCTGGCTGTGGATGGTGGACATCTCAGTCCCCTTGGCTCCTCAGTGCCCTCTTGCTATTCCGAAGGGGGTGGCACTAGGCTGAACTCTGCAGGGTCACAAGGAGAGTCAGCAGAATAGCTCCCCAGTGCTGAGCCTGCGGGTATTTGCGGGTGTGTGCTAAGACAGGAGGCTTTGTGTTGAGTGCAGGGTGGGCAATGTAGCAGTATAGGCCCTGTCTCAAAAGAAAAAAATGTGAAAGGGGTAGAGAAATAGCCCAGGGCAAAAGCTCTAGGTTCCATCCCCAGGACTGAACTAATCAAACAAAAGAAAACAAACTAACAAAGCAAAACCTCCCCTAAGGACAGATCCATAGGGCAGCAAACACACTCAGCATCTCAGGAATTGCTGCTGTGAGACTTCCTGAGGCCACCACAATATCTTAACAAAAATGAAGAAGAAAGGAGTAAAACTGTGTGCTTAGCAAGTGTACATCAAACTTTGAATAGCAAGAGCCATGCAGTTCCTCATGTGGGCGGCAACACAGGCAGGAGTTTAGTGAAGGCCTGCAGCTGTTCCATGGGAATGGAGTTCCCAGGATGCTTAAGTCCCATGTTCATTTCCCGATCTGTGACTGTGTGTTCAGGGGCTCGCACTCACTCACAGCATCATCCCCCTGGCTTTCTTCTCCCTCATTGTGTATCTGACACTAGGACAAATGCAAGAAACTGGGAAAATAAAGCTCGAAAGCTGGAGATGGGTCTCAGTTGCCTTTTAGCTGACATCTGAACAGCACTTCTTACCTAACAGGTATCTGAGCTATGCTTCAAAAGGAGGCCCAACTGACACACTTGAGACTCCTGGTCATGCAGGGGCCTGTCATGATTTCCAGGATCAAACTTCAAGTAATTTCCCTGTCCCATGCTACACAGGTGTAGGTGTGTGTGTGTAACTTTGATAATACTCTTACTTTA